CTCTCCCATCGGAAGCTTTTGCGGCTTTTGCAAGTGTGGGTTTATTGGTATCTGCAACCAAAAACTTGCAAGATCTCCCTTGAACAGTGCAAGCCTCTGGGGATGACATGCAAGAAACAGCTTTTCCAAGGTACGGTGCGGCTTCTCTAAAGCGGTGCTTCGCTGGTGAAGTCATGTACCTTGCGCTCTGCACGGATCCAAATGCTATGTCTTGGAGTGTATGTGTGTGGGTGAGTGATGAGAAGCTTGGGCAGGTAACGCAGCGAAGAAGTTTGGAGCCCGTTACTGAGTTTACTACATCACATCAGTCACCTCAATGAGTTCAGAGAGACGTTGAAATGTTGTGGACATAAGAAAGAGATCGAGATTTAGACAAGGACGCTACTAGGGGCTCCTGGCCTTACTACTAGAAGCAAGGACGCTACATCTAGGACGAGCTTTCCTGCGTCCGGAGGTTGTAGCTTCCTCTTGCTAGTAGCTTACCTTACCTCTTACGACATCTACTTACTATGTACTAGCTGGTTACTTAGCACTGAGCCTACGTACTACGGCCGACCTCTCTCCCAACAAAGAAATTACTGGAACTTATTCATTGAAGTTTATAACTCAAAAATAAACCAAACACTTTAGATGGAAACTGCCAAACCTCCATTCGCTGCCTGGTGACAGTCTTGCCATGTCTTGCCCCTATGTAGTTCGTCTTGGAATGCTACTGGCAAGAACGCCTTCCAAAAGAATACCCCACGCCTGCCATTGGAGGGTCTTTTGCCAGGAACACCTCTGTGTTAAGTTCATTACAATCGCAGGTCTTCAATTCTGTATTTGCTTCTAACTTTGGATCTTCTGATCCAAGCACAACACGACACTGCTCTCTACATATCCTTAAAAACAACTTGGCCCAAAGAAAAAGACTTCAAGGGGATCAATCGCCACTAGTAACAAAGGGCATCGCTACTAGGAGCGATCGGACGCTACTAGGAGCAAAGGGCATCGCTACTAGGAGCAAGGACGCTACTACTGGTAACAATCGCTACTGGGGACCTCTGTGGCGACCCTGGCGGCCCTGGCGCGAAGCCCCCTTTGCTCACTTCATGGTGGGCGATGCTAGTGGCCTGGCGGCTTCGGACACGTGGTAGTAATGCACCTTGCTACTAGTAGCGTCCTTGTTCCTAGTAAGGCCAGGAGCCCCTAGTAGCTTCTTGTTCCTAGTAGCGTCCTTGCTACTAGTAATGGCCTCCAACCTAATGGCGATGGCCTCCACCCTAGTAGCTTCTTGTTACTAGTCTTTAGTAGTAATGCACCTCTCACAAATGATCACATCTCCGATCTATCACAACATCCGAAAGCTCGAAGCATGTTTTCCCAACAGAATTTTAGTGGATTGTGCTGGAACTTCAAAAGGAGGAGCTGAACCGTTGAAAATCACGCATCCTTGAAAACACTCGCCCCACCCAAAACTCTCCAATACTTTGTGGTATGCAACTGGGTGGCAACCTCTGGGCCAACTTCGAAGCAATGCCAAGCAAAACCCTTGATTCATGCAGTTTAGCCGTGAGCCGACCACAGGTTCCCGCCCACGGAACTTGCAAAAAGGCCAGGGCGACACTTTGGAAATAGACATTTCCCTCCGTGGGAGATCGATGCGGTCACGGAGGTATTCCAAGGCCTGCGGACGCTATTAAGAGCAAGGACGCCCCTAGGGACTCCTGGCCTTGCTACTAGGAGCAAGGACGTTACTACTTTGGAATTCTCATTCTTCCTTCATCTTGCTTCTCAATCGGAGCAGTAGCACCATGTAGCACCATCAGGGGATTGGGAAGCACAATTTCAACGTGTCCTTTATTCGGACAACTGGGTAGCATGGAGGATGTGTCTTCGAACCCTCCTTATACAATTCCACATACATGGTTACAATACTCGGTACCCGAAATGGTTTGCACAGAAGAAAGACTGTCAAGGGCCAAGGGCATCCAACCATCCAGCAGCTCATTAAAAAAGCAACAAGATGGAGCCCACGAATCCGAATGCAAACACGTTCCAAAAGCTACATATGTCCAAATGACACTCTTGTAGGACACTCTTGTGGGACACTCTTGCGGGGCACTCTTTTGGGAAACTCTTGTAGGACACTCTTGTAGGACACTCTTGTGGTCACTCTTACAGGACACTCTTGTGGGACACTCTTGTGGGACACTCTTGTAGGACACTCTTGTGGGCCACTCTTACAGGACACTCTTCTGCGACACTCTTCTGGGACACTCTTGTGGGACGCTCTTGTCGCTCACCAGCGACACGCCGCGTTTGCACCAGCATGCTTCGTGCTCCCCAGTGGCACGGCGCATCGCAAACGCGCTTCCCACCAAGGCCGCGCAAATCCGCATGGCACTGCGACATCACGAACGTAATTTCGCCACACGGTCCGCCACCCACTAGAAGCAAACATTTCGCACGATACCACCAATCATCCTGCTCACCAGCGACACGGCGCAGGCGAGGCTTCGAGTCACGCTTCGAGTCTGCAAGACGAGCATTTCGTACGAGACGTCCTCCAAAAGTCACGCGTCAAGTCTCCAAAACGAGCGTTTCGTCCGAGACGTCCTCAAAAACTCACATGTCGTCTGCAAAACAAGCGTTTCGTATGAGACTTCCTCCAAAAGTCAAGCGGAAACACCCACCGGAGCACACACATCAAGCAGTCCTGCAGTTTCGCGATTCCAGCCCCTCCAAACAACACCCGCTCACACGCCAATATCCCAATGTCACAGCGACATTCACCTCCACCACAACTCACAACCTCACCATTCTCTGCGCCTGCCACGAAACTTTCCGCGTCCACAAGTCTAACGCGCACAAAGTACTGCGCCTGCCACGAAATGTCACCTCCGTCACACCTCGCAACTTCATGATTCCCCGCGCCTGCCATGCAAATCGCACTTCCATACCTCAAAAGCCGCGCAAAGTACTGCGCCTGCCACGAAAAGTGTCAATATCATATCATGTGAGCGTCAACAAATTTTTGCACCACACCACACGTTTGGAATGACTTCGACCCGTTCTGAGCACACCCCCAGCCATCAAAATTGAGACTCGTCACGAAATCAGAGCTTCGATGCAACACCCTGAAACGCAAGCCCCAATGGCACGGCCACACCCAACACCCCAACAACACCACTCTCCAAACGCTAATCCCAATGGAACTGCGCAGAAAACTGCGGATCTCACAAAACGCTGCGCCTGCGCAGTGAAATCATTCTCCACACTTCAACATCTTACATTTCCACACGATTCCACGCTATTTTACACGAATCTGACAAGTCACGTTTCCATCCGAAACCCTCTCCAAAAGCTTCCCCCAATGGCAGCGCCTTAGCGCTCTACCGCGAACGGTTGCGGACGGTTGCGAACGCTGAGACAGCGCATCGAGAACAAGACCCTACCCCCAAACCCCCAGAGTTAAACGAGAACCCTTCGCTACGCATTCGGGAAAAAGCATACACAGGAACTGAAAGATAATCATTTTCAATTTGGAGAGAATCATCCATCGTTTTCTTTATTTTATCAAACCCTGTCAATTGCTTTGGGAACTGGAATGATTCCCAGTCCCTTTTTACTCCACTGCTTGGGTTTTAACCACCGCCACCATGACCACCATTGAGGTTCCTAAACCATTTACAGTGCAGATTGGGACGAACTTTTAATGTCAAACACTTCAAAACGAGCTCGATCGTATCCGCGTTGATGCCATCCCCTCCAGGATGGTGATAGCTTCTGTTTCACAAAACAAACGCGACGCCAGAAACGGAGCACCTTGAGACAAGCTGCACCAAGGCCAAAACAGGCAACACCTTCCAGGCAGGACATGGCGCCTCAAAGGTTGCGGACTGACACCGCCACGGCTTTGTTCCCAGTAGCGATACCCTTTGCCCCTAGTAGCGTCCTTGCTCCTAGTAGTACGGCCAGGAGCCCCTACTAGCGTCCTTGTTCCTAGTAGCGATGCCCTTTGCTCCTAGTGGCGATGCCCTTTTCTCCTAGTAGCGAACATTGCTCGGCATTCGGTATTCCACGGCATGAACACTGAATCCCCAGCTGTTAAGTATCTGTTCCCGGATGCTGCTGGTATGGCATCTCGAATCCTCCCAAAGTCTCCTTCCTGAAGGCCAAGATAGGTGTCTCCTAATATCCCTTGCAAACCTTGGTTGCCTGGTCCAATGTTTCTGAATCTACACTAAGGCGAGGGAGCCCATGTCCAATGCCGCAAAGCTGGAGCACACCTTTACATTTAAATGTGTTTGTTCAATTTCAGTGACGTGGTCCAGGCCTGAATACTCTGTTGAATTCTTGTTGCAACACTCAAAATACTCAAATCAACCTACCAGTCACGTGTTGACAGCTTTTGATGATTCTGCTTGAGGTTCCTCTGAGACAACCAAACCCAATCGCCCTTGATTTGCTGGCTTCAGCTGGAAGCCTTCAAACATATGCAAGTGATCAAGGGCAGACATATGGAGACATTGATGGGTCCTGCAATCCACTGACTGGGGCCATAGCAGCTCCAAATGCGTCCTTGCTCCGTTCGTAGCGATGCCCTTTGTTCCGCTTCTTGCTCCTAGTAATAAGGCCAGAAGCCCCTAGTGGCGTCCTTGCTCCTAGTACGACAATAAGACATATATAATCTAACTGTTTCTCTGAGCCAAATAGGTGCCCCAATGATGCTTGTCTGCCACCATGCAGCTACAGCGGGTTTGTACGGCATTTACCGCGGCTTTGCTTCCTCTTTGAAGGTCCAGCTTTTGCTAGTAATAGAATAGACTTGGCTAGGCCTAGAATCCCTTCACTCACCATGGGCACTGATAGATCTGAGCTCCATTCTGACAAAGGCCTGAGAAGACATCATGTCCAACTACCCTTGCTGGGTGAGCAGTGGTACCAGTCTGGTACCAGTGGTATGATATAAATATCTGAAGTAATACCTCTGACATCCTCTCACTCTCTTGTCGACCTCACTTTTTTTCACCGATGGCCCATCGCTGCGACTCTGAAAGCGGATCCCAGCTGATCTGGGCGTCGGGACAGGAAGCAAAGTGAATCTGAAGAATGCCGTGTTTCACACGTGTCCAAGAAGGCAACGTTTCTGACATGAGTTGATTAAAAAATAGGAGCAAGGACGCTACTAGGGGCTCCTGGCCTTACTACTAGGAGCAAAAATGCTACTAGGGGCTTCTGGCATCGCTAATAGGAGCAAGAACGCTTGAGATTCTTTTTCTTTTTATATATATATATATATATAGATCACTTTATGTAAAGCGGAAACAGGGCGCTCTCGTGAAGCGGTTTAGAAGTGCGAGCCTCAAAGCGCAGTTGTGGGAAGAGGCGCTTGCAATGGCCTGCAGTTGGCACAGAAATGTCAGACAAAACAGCTCTCAAAAGCCAGAACCAGCACTCAGAACACAAAAAAGGACCACATTGACCACATTACAAGGCGCAACCCATGTCGTGCCATCAGTGCTTCAAATCCACTGAGTCGAGCGTCAGAAAGCAGCCAAGCAAGAGATACATAGCGATCCCGACGTATGGAGGAGCACCCCCTTAGAGCACGACGTGGGTGAGGGTGATGCTTGGTGCTACACAGCCACGAAGAGAACTCATTTTGATACGCTTCGCATGACAGAAACTCCCTGTAGTTTTGACGGTTATTTTGGAGAGTAGCTAAAGTGGTTGGTAAGGCTAGCACAATTTGGTGACCTACTGTATGAGAACACTGGGCAACTATATAAGTCCGCTCTGTCCAGCTCACACATGACAAAATGTGAGCAATGAGATCTCATAAACTTACGTGTACATGTGCCCCTTTTTTCTGGAGACAAAGAGCTGCAACCATCAAGCAAGCTTAACAATGTCACTACCCCAAAAAGACAGAATAAACGCTCCAAGTTATTGGACAACTGCACTGATATTCCAAGTTGTGCTTCCTCACTAGCTCATGTGGGCAAGGCTACTTAGCAGCGAAAAACTGATGAGTTTGGCAGACAGATGTTTAAAAAACATTCTTATATATTGTTTCCCGTATGCATGTTTACCAGCAAGTTCTCAGCTCCCAAGCTTTTTGAGGTGAATGATGTGTTCGCTTGCAGATGCTAAAGACTTGACAATGCAACAGGTTAATGGACGTTTGTTTATGGAACCCTTTTCTCGGAAGGCATTGTACAAACAAATCCTTTGAGAGCACCAGTCACTAGAAAGTTGGCATTGCATGTGACCAAATCCAGTAGAGATTACACTAGATTCATAAGGATATCTGCCAAACTAGCATTCGAAACGGTTGCTGGCTTTTCCTGGCACATGTCCTTTTCAAGCGTTCAAGGCAAATGATAGTCTCGTGTGATGCATCAATATGAGCCAATCCGTTGCCATAAACATGATTAAACATGTGTGTTAAGTTTCCCTAAACATGTAGAAACCAAATCATTAGTGCGAGCGCCTTTAGGGCGGCGGGGGAGCTTCCTTGAAGGAGCATGAGCTATCCTGCGTCCATAAGTAGTAGCGACCTCTCCCTACTACCTACCTCCCTCCCTACCGGCCTATTCCCCCGCCCCGAGAAAAACACATCCCGTGCTGTCAACCTTTTCGCAGTCCAGGAGCTCCTTGAATCCGTCGCGCGTCTTCGAAGAAGTTCACCATGGAGGAGAGTGCCACTCGCTCCTCGAAGAAGAGAATGTTCCAGGCGAATACGTTCAGCCAAAGCCAAGGGCAAACTGGACGATAAAAAAACTGTGTTTAAAAGGAACAATATACAAAAAAATAAACACATTAATATTAATGATAATATTGTTGTTGTTGTTGTTGTTGTTGTTGTTTTCTATTCAATTGGGTAAAGAAGCAAAAACCACATTCATTTTGATCTTTGGATCCTCGAAGCCCTCACAAAATGGTTCGCGTACCTATTCTTGGCTACAACTCCACCTCCTCAAAGCAGCTTCACAATGCTAAAGCCCCGTTGACTGGAAGAAATAGTTATGTTCTTCCATTTCAAATTCCTTTTCTTAAACATATTTTTCTATCAAAAAATCCTTCCTGATCAAACATGATCAAACTTCTTTTCTCGGGCGGGGACCACTTTAGACAATAAATAGACATCACAAGGCCGGCATCCTTCGTGATTTCACAACTCCGTCGTCGCCCGTGTCGCCTTTGACCCCCGGGATCCACAGCAATGATCCCACACTTTTAGCGGTTTCTTGAAAAGAGGAAAGCTAGTTTGATTGCAATTGAAGTAATTAGAACGAATACCCCCTTTCTTTTTCTTGACAAATCAAGGGAGTCCCAGGTCTCGTTCCATGGCGTTCCGACTGAAAATGTTGCAGATCAGTGGCAGCATGTGTTGCTTTGTCAGACCACTTCGTCGGGGGCAATAAAATGCTCTCTGGGCCTGGATGCCGGCATCGATGCAGTCGCAAACAGTTTGGAGAAAGCTGCACAGCATTCGCAACACTTTTGAAGGCCTTTCCAAGTCGAGTGCGCAAAGCTATCCATGGACCCGTCGGACCCAACTTCGTTAACCTGTCTATGCCGAGTGGCCACCACTGGCCATGCATCGACCAGCACACAGCTGGTGAACAATTTGCGCCTCCAAACTAAGCAAAGTAGAGGAACCAGCGAAGTAAAATCCAAGAGTCTGAGAGTGTTTTCTTGAGATTTTGAGCGCATGACTTTTGACTCATTTAAGGAACTGATGCGATTCAGTGATGCTTCATTTTCAGTTAAAGTCGAAGACTCAAGGCACACTTTTTATGCCACAGCTACAAATCCTACAAACACATATTCCAACATCAAAAACAACCTGAAGGACATCATTACGATCGCCGGCTGGCCCAATAACTATTTTTGTTAAGAAGGAGGCCGGTTTCATAAAGGATAGTGTATGCCGCAGGGGAATTTTCACTAGTAGGCTGGCTTCAGGATCAAATTTGTGCAAAGGAACAACGTGGCTTTTTCAAATCTATCCATTGTCTTGAAAGGAAGAAGCTTCTAAGGAGGTGAAGAGAAGACTCAAGAAATATACCTTGCAAAAGTGAAAGGATTGGGAAAGCAAGAATTATTTGAAGAAACATGAACTCCTTGCTTGAAGGGTGAGAGACTTTTCAATGGAAAGCGACTTCCAAAAACTAAGAGTAGTGGTTGTCCATGTCAGCTGTTATGTCATGTTCATGATGCTTCTGCAAAAATGGTAATGGGATAATAGTGTAGAAAATACATATTCCTGCAAACAAAATGGAACAATTCATTTGTATTTAGTAGCACGAAGGAGAACACATTCAACAGGCGCCGTGTGAAAGAAACTCCTCAACCATTCCAAAAATAACACGAGTGCAATTGTGTAAAGAAAACTTGCCCCTGCTCGTGGATTAGGAGGCACAACAAAAGCATCAAAAATACCAAAGATCTAGGGGATCTAAACATACCAAACACATCAAACATACCAAAGAGCTAGGGGTAATGTTTGGAGCCAAAAATACCAAGACATGGTGGACATATTTTGGCAGAGAAGAGGCCACCTCTTTCTATACAGGATTGCTATCTTTGGTATTTTTGCTAGGACCCCCTAACCCATAAACATTGCCCCTAGATCTTTGGTATTTTTGGTATGCACTCCTACCAAGGAGAGAGAACAAACGCATTGCAGGAAACACTATAAATCGTACACCTTCACGACGCTGGTATCGGATGAAAAGAATTTCATCGCAGTGTGCCCCTCTTGCAGGGGCAATTCAAGTGCACAATTTATCACATGAAGCTTCAACGGCCTTTGCTCATTAAGCTGCTAAATGGGAATTTGATACCACAATGAACCACATCCCCAAACCCAACACTCCACGTTTGAGGCTCTCTATGACCATATTATCAATGGTCCCCTAGCACGAGCCCGCAGTCACCACAATGGGGCTTTTGCATGCTTTTGCCAAATGCGGCCTCGCCTCCCAATCTTTCAACCGATCCAACACCAAAGAGTAGGAAATCCAGGCTGCCTGGTGTCGGTGAAACCCTCCCCCAAACAAGAAAAACATCGATACAGAACTAAAGACCTGGGAAGTCATTTGAACTGACAAAAGGAACTCTGAAGATCTGTGAAGTGGTCAACGTTGTGCACTGTACCCGAACTCGATAGTACAGTACAGCCAAAAGCAGGAATCGGTGATTCTCAACTGCACTTGTTGACGCACTTGAGAATTTATGTGAACTGCCACCTAGACACAAGAACCCTAAACTGATTGTGTAGAACATTTCGTCACAATCCACATTGGAATTGTAAGTCGGCTGTGCTTTCCTCTCTTCTTTGAAAGAATATCCTGAAACGCTGTATATGTCTTATCCAAAGCTTTGTGACTGTCGAACTCAGAAACTCAAACATGGCCTGATCTGCTTCACCCACCAGCAAGCGTCTCACTGGCAAACGCCCACGAAAGGCATTACACCTGCAAGGGCCGTCTGCAGGCGAGGGTCCCAAAGTGCCTGAGTAGCCCGTATTTGCAGTGCGATTTGGAGGTGTAGGCGTTGATTGTATGGAGACTCCAAACACAATGGCAATACACAGCACAATAAGGAATCTGCACCCCAAACCTCTTCAGATCTATGGCCTCTTCATTGATTACTTAGTCCACCTTGACAACGCTCCTATGGTAGTCTCCAAGGGCAAACTGTACTTCATCCGGCCCTTAAGGTCAACTGATCAAACTAAACTCTTGGCACATTTGGGTGAAGTAGCCTTCCCGGCCTGGCCTTCACTTCTTGCAAATAGCCTGTATCTGTGCATTACAGATTCACCCTGTTTTTGGAATCTGTTTTGTTGCACCAACTCCCCAACAAAACGAACCTCACAGTCGTCAACCGCCGCTTCCAGTGGCGCTGTCGAAGGCGATCCTTCCTGTCCAATGTAACTTTCGGTATCTGTTGGTATCAGGTTAAAGCCGTCTGAACAATACATGATCTCAAAACATGCCCCCAACCATTCATTCTACTCACGTCCCCTTAAACATGTTCAACTACACCAGTCATCATAGTCATAGTCCCTACAATACTTTTGAGATCGTGTTTTTCCCTAGAAAGCGATAGCTATGGATTCTTACTTCAAAAAGAATGAACTGGCTGTGCACGCTTTCGAGACAGGGTGCCGGCGCTGGTGCGGTGCTGGGCGCTGGTGCTGTGAGCTAGCTGCGCACACTTTGGAGACAGCGTGTCGGTGCTCGGCTGCTTGAGAACACGGGAACCTCCAGAGTAGTGCCGTGTTGTTTCTCGAACAGTTGCTTTTGCTATGACTGAATGCTTGCACGTGGTGCTTGTGAAGCCTAGGAGGTGCACTGAGTACACACATATAATACATTTGCACATATTTGTCTACAACAGCATATTGTAATTACTTGTTGCGCGTATGTTTCCCCAAATAGCCAACGCTTTTGGGGTTCGTATTAAAGTATAGGAAGAGGTGCCTGTGCGCGCTTTGGAGCTTGGGCCCTGGTGCCGCTGCAGGGTGTTGCCAGATATTGATGGCGTGTTCTTTTGAAGGCTTTGGAGCCTGGGTGCCGATCAAGTCTACGCCGAACATAGCGTCCTTGCTCCTAGTAGTACGGCCAGGAGCCCCTAGTAGCGTCCTTGCTCCTAGTAGCGATGCCCTTTGCTCCTAGTAGCGTCCTTGCTAGTTAAAGAATAGTTTAAAAAGAACGCTTGGGTGCTGCGCACAACAGTCTTTTGCTATCTGGGGTCTATGCTGGCGTAATCGTGGTGAGTATTTAAGTATCTGCTGGCCAACCTCGGCCGTCGGCCAATTCGACTCTTACCAAGCACAAACACAGTGAATCATTCTTCCAACTTATGCTAGGAAAAAGGAAAGGACCCTGTATTCTGGACAAATGACCTCCAAATGTATTTGCAGTGGCCTAGGGCCAGCTCTACAAGGTGGGGAATGCCTTCAACGGGCTGAATCGCTTCAGCCCGCGCCTGTGAGGCCTTGCCGATTGGAAACGCCCTGTGCGGAAGCCAAGGAATCTCAAAGCCCGCTCAGTGCCTGCCGGCACCGGTACGGCCGTAAGGCCCATGGCACAACCGCCAAGTCTTTCGAGTTCAATGGGAACTAGTAGCGATGCACTTGTTAGTAGTAGCTTCTTGTTACTAGTAATTAATGCCCTTTGATTTATTTTTATTTTTGGTGCCATTTTGCGAGTTCTATGCCTTCGCTGCCATTGAAGCGTTTATGCGTGAGCACACCGTGCAAAGAAATCAAGTGTTCAATTGGGTTGACTCAACTGTCATTGAACATCAAAGCACGTTTCTCAAGGTACTAGTAACACGGGCATTGCTACTAGGAACAAGTGCATCGTTACTAGTAGCTTCTTGCTACTAGTTAGTAGTAATGCCCTTGTTACTTGTATGTTGTCGACCACTTAATCTTGAAAGAACACGCAGCGCCTAGTACACCCAGCTCAGGCTGCTTCTCCAACAAGGGGTCCACACCTCAGTCGGCTGAGACCTGGGGTCAAATAGTTCGATCCTTTTGTGGCATTCTGCTTAAACATTATCCTCAACAACACGGTGGTTTTCAATCGAGGATGCATATGGAAACCGAAAGTATAGTTGGCTAAGGGGTTTGTATGAATGTAGTGTTGTGGAATGAGAATTATGGCAACCACAAACCATCTGAGATTTGCACGTCCGCTCTTTCATACTTTGCATTAGTACTCCTCACTACTGATACAAATGGCCTTCGGCCTCAAGAAAATTATCCTTCTCTTATCCACACTCCTTTGAGGCATTTGACCAGCCCTTACGACGACACCACTTGGACGATGGGTCCGCTACAAATAATCAATTATGTGGTTCTTTCTGCTAAAACATACACTTTCTTGTATTCTTTCTTTTACGTCACTGCCTGGGAGGTCATTGCACCAAGGGTCGCAGTAAGCCGGAGGCGTCCAATGCCCATCGCTTTCGATGGCCCATCACGACTTGGAGCCTTAGCAACCAAACTGTGCACCCCGCGGTCAAGCTGTGCAGAACGGGTCATTGGGACCTACTGTTGCAGATCTGTAGCTTACAGAAGCAAGTTGTGTCAGTTTAAAAGGATCACCTTCATATATATATATATAACTATATATACACATATGAATCATGTGTAACACGAATGAGAAGAGTCTTGGCCCGGGAGCCCCAAGAAGGAGCGCCCCCGAGCTCTCCAAAACGCCTGACAGGCCGAGTGGAGCGTAACAGTTTAGCAGCGCCCCGGGTTCTCCTTCGGATCTAACAAGTCGGTCTGCATTCATCTTCTTTCATAAAAGACATGATGAGATAAAGGAGAAATCACTGAAATCACTGTAGGTGCTAGTAGGTTGGAGGCCATTGCTATTAGGGTGTTCCATCATCTTCCGTCATCTTCCATGGGTTCGAGGTGCCAGAAGAATCACCCGGATGCTGTGATTCTGTGGTCTTGTTACGTAGGTCTTGTTAGGTCCTGTTAGGTCCTGTGGTTCTGACAGTCTGAGATTGACCTTCATCCAGTCGTTCACGCATCTAGTTGCCCGACCAAACGGGAGGTTCAGGTTGCTGGTTGCTGTTCCAAAAGGACCGGAATAGGACACTGTATTTGGAACCAATTAGTGCTCTTACCCTCACTGAAAAGAACGGTAATTATCGCAGTTGTGGCATACGAACCAAACTTGGTTGTTGCATGCAAAAGTGTTCCAGTTCATTTTGAAACAAAGTAGAACTGGAAACAATGAGAGAATTCAAGGAGCAAGGACGCTACTAGGGGCTCCTGGCCTTACTACTAGGAGCAAGAAGCTGTTTTAGAAACAAAAACTCAGAATTAGAATTCATGTTTTCAATTCGATGCACCACCGGCACCACGAGCGTCCGTCGTGCCTGACGGGTGGTGGCCTTCAGGGCACCCAGCTCATTCAGCAGCTCCAAGCCCCGAAGCTCCTGCGTTCGGTCGACGTCAGCCGTCGGCGTCGAAACACACGTTGAGAAATCCAAATATGGGAATCTCAAACTCCGCTGCCCTCAAAAAACAGTGTTTCACCGTTTGACGCTCCGGTTCCAACCAAATAGTTGCAACCCTGTTTATCCCTGTGTACCCTAGCAGGCCCTAGCAGGCCCTAGCAGCTAGCTGTCCCGAGATGTTTTTGCGTTCGTTCCTTCGTTGTCATTTCCATCTTGACGCTTGGATTCGATGTTAAACTCATTTTATCGCAGAAACATCAGCCAATTGGTGTCCTTTCTTGTTTGAACGTCGCCTTTTCATTCATTCCTGAGCATGTTTAACTATTTTCTTCTCTCCTGAGCTTCTGAGATGCATTTGGCGTGTTGTCGCCAAAGCTTCAGGTAGCCTTTCTGCAGGGACTCCGTCCTTTGCAGAATGGACGGCGAATCGAAGATGAAGCGTACTCGCTAAGAGCGGCCTCCCGACACACTCGAGGCTATTTGGACTCCACACACTCGAGCAATAAATCGAATCACTCAGATACGAGGCGGAATCTGCTCCATGTGTTGGTGCGAATGGGCAATTTGAGAAGTAGTCTTTACACAAATAACTCTTTTGCTGCTTTTGCAAGGTGCCTTGCTGTGTACCCTTTGGAGTTGGTACAACCGAAGCGTGCAAGTCAAAAGCTTAAATGTTTCGCGTCTACTGCGGCAAGGGATGTATGGGGAGCGCAGGGATCGTTGTTCAAGCCATGAGGTCCAACGTATTGAGTTGCACTTGGGATACGCTCACGTGCCTATTCAGAAAAAGAGGCATCCAGGCATGTCCTTACGCGAACAGATGTTGACACTCCCTGATATACACTTGTTTATGTCGTTACTCTCCTGTCCCGAGTCCCTGCCTTTTGGAAGACTGTTTGCCCCTCACATGATAGAACACCAAACATTTTGAGACTTTTCGTTGTCAAAATCCAAGATTCATAGGCACTGTAGGCAAAACAAAATTGTACAAAACTAAATGACAATAGAAAGCAACATGCCATGAAAACAAGTGCGATCATGTGTTCAGCTTACCCAAGGCCTCTAGAAAAGCATTGTGAAACCATCTCCTTTCATCTTTGCACACTGTGTCCCTTTGTTTTACAAGGCGCTTCAAACACAATCTACGCGGACCTGCCCAGCTTGGCTTTTGAGTGTTAGGGCTCCAAACACCTCAGGCTTTGGAGCAAACTGCAAAGCCTCCACCTGGTCCAAACCCCGTGGCCACGTCGCATTACGAGATTCACGAGAGATTAAAAGCACCTGGAATCCAATCATTGAGACACACGAGAAACAGCAAACATGGAGTCATGTGTCAGTGGAAACACTAGATGACCTGTGACCAACTTGCGTCGTCGCGAGACGAATTCAAAATGACCGGTGCTGAGCCGCAACAACTGACATCATCACTGCTTCAGGGTTCATGATATCATTGGTTTTCTGCTTCAATGAATAAGGACCTTTCACCTCAAAAGGAATGATTTCTCGCATTCGCCAAAAGTGCAAGATCTCTCGTGACTGCTTTGCTCGTTGCTCGGTCACCCAAAACTGCTCTAGCTGTCACCGCCACCAGCGGTCCGGTCTTCGCCTGTTGAAGCATCTTTCAAGGCATCGGGCCTGAGGAACGGGGTACATCCAAAAGTTCCTAGTAGCACTTGTTTCTACTAGCCTCTTGTAACTACTAGTAAGGCACTTGTT